GTGAATTTCGTGGGATTTTGCAGATTTACTTGAAATTCACGGCTCCACCACCACGCAATATATCTGAAGCCCTGAATTGAGTAATTTTTTTCATGTGTATTGTTAGGACCTGCCAAACCTCTCCCCAAAAAGAAAACGAAAACAATTAATCAAAATTAAATAAATAAACCTACATCTAAGGACCTGAAATGATGACCACCGACGTGCAGTTCTGATCATGAAGTAATTAATGTTTCACGATCTCAGCATTACTGGTGTCAGGTTACCTTGACTCAGTATAAAAAGCACATCCAGTTCATCCCTGACTTATCAAGTAAATTAAACACGGAGCGATCCTATAAAAGGCAAGGACACGCCACCTTTGAAGCACTTTGTTGGCTTTTTTTGTGCAACGGTGGAAAGCTAGCCGAAATAACGGTCACATAACATAGACGTTGTGGAGAAATAGCATTTTTCATTAAAACAGCAGAGTCATTTATGTAGAATAATATAAAGTACATAATAAAAATACAAAGAAAATAAAACTTCTAATAACTCTTTAGAAGATGCCTTTGGAAGAACAAAAACGATGAGTTATCCTCTTCACTTCACAGAACTAGGATTTAAATTTCAGTGCTAACTTAAATAGCAAAGCTGATGTCTGCAATCAACAAGCAATCCGTTTCCATTTATCTCAGAATGCTGAGAACAAAAACATACCTCATAAGAGGTGATTTTGGTTAGCCTGTGTACAGAGACAGATTTTGGTGGGATATTTAAAATTATTCAGATTTATGATGGTGCAAAAAAAATGCAAATTGAACAAGGCTGAGTTCTTCCTCAAACTGTTATTCATTCAGAGCAGAGAAATTGGAAACAAAAAGTACTACAAAGAAACAAGAGAACTTGCAAAATGGCAACGCGAGATTTGACCTGAACATTGATGCTACAATTGTGGACGAAAGTCCTTGGGACACTTATGTAATTTAACGAATTATCTGTGTTTTACTACTGAAGTTTGGAAAAAGCGCTGCTTTCATTTTAGAAATGCATTACTGCTCCCCCTCCCCACCCAATACAATGTTGAAATCAGAAGAAATTGCAGGTGGTAGTTTTAAACATTGTATGGGGGGGTGGGGTGAGGTTAGGCAGCTGAAGTAGTATTTGCATCTGGCGTGTACGCAAAAGCACCAAAAGTGCAAATTTGTCGCAAGTCTTTTGTCCATGATTGTAGAAAGAG